CACTGAGGTAGGAAAAGAACCCAAAGGGGCAGGAGGAGAGACTGTGGAGAGGAGCTGAAGATCTGGGGGCAGGGTGGGGGCAGGCCCCCCGCAAGGAGACAGGAATGAAGGAGAGAATGGCAGAGGCTCTGAGGAAACAACCCTTGCTGGGAGAGAAACAGAGGGGCGGCCTCACCCAGTTCCTTGGTCTGCACGGGTCGGGCCACAGTTGGCATCGGAGGTGGGTGCCCCGCGACCCAGGAACTAACTGCAGCAAGGCAGCTCGCAGGTAGGTGGGGTGAAGTAAAAGGGCCCGTCCCTTCTGGAATCAGGCAGGTGAGGGAGAAGAGCCCCAGGGCAGTCTCGCACAAGATGGCGAGGAGCACCACGGTCGGGAGCAGCTCCTCAGAGGCCTGCCCGTCTTCTGTGCTCCCAGAGGATCGCGGACATTGCACCAATCTCGAGGCAGGCTGTGGTTGACGTTGCCTGCGCTGCCAGTCTAGACTAGCAGGGTGGCCAGGTTGCCATGGCGGATGCCTTCCCTGCGATGCTTGCGTCTGATACTTGTTGCACACACTTCCATCTCAAGGCCTTCGCACTTGCGGTTCCTGTTTTCTAGACTGCTCTTTTCCATTTGTCTGCAGACAACTCTCTGGTGCTGCTCAAGGGGTAGCTCACAGTCCTTTGGGGACAAGCCAATTTCAAGTTCCAATTCCTTATCCCAAGTGCTCCTCCTGCCTCCTTTCTGCTTTATTTTTCTCTGCAGGCCTCTCACATCTGATGCGCCCCCCACCCCCATATTACATTCACATTTCTCGCTGTGGAATTAGGAAGATGTTCATCTCACAACTCAGCCCATGGGGCGCCACTGCCGATGACAACAGGCCTAGGAACAGCAGAAGTGGCAGATCTCAGGGGTCGGGCCTTTCACCCCTGGGAAGCGGCAGCGGCGGGGCTGGTGGGCAGTGGCGCCGGGCAGTGAATCGTTCATGATTTGCTACGGCGGCCTCGTTCCCTAAGCAGGAGTCGCGCCTGTGGGAACTGCGAAGCCTGCTGCTCTAGGGCCTGAAGGCCTCGTCAACAATAAATTCTGTTAGGAAAGGCTTCAAGGAAGGACCCCGCTGCCACTGCTGACGGCCCAGACGCTCGGCTGCGGGAAAGTGGGGCCCTCCGTGCACAAGTCACAGAGGGCTCTGAGCGCGTGCCCGTGGATGCGGGCAAGCTGACGTGAGCCAATTTATTTTGCTTAGATATTTTCTTTTTATGTGCGCCCTGGAGGGAGAGCTATTGGAGAAACCAACGCCTGACGAAGTCCCAGAGAGCTCTTGCGATTCGTAGACAACGAAGACTACACGTGCTAAGAAAGCCTCGCGTCGTGACCGGCTTGGAAGCATCACCTTGTCCCCAGTCACGCAGCTGACGCCTCTTGGATGCCACCTAGACTGTGCTCACTTGTCCTCCCGCGCACTGTGCAGACAAGGCTGTGCCCTCGGGCTGTGCACAGCAGGTGCTCAATAAACCTCTGTCATGCGCTTTGGAGAAAGAGTTGTGGGGAGAGGAGGCACGCCAGCCTGAGGAGCCCCAGGGTTCCAGAGCGGAGCAGCTCTGCCCAGTGCCTTTGTCCTCTGACCTCTCTCGGGCACCCTCTCCTGGGGAGTGTCAGTCCCCAAAGGGCAGTGGCTGGTGGCTGCCGCTGCCCCAGATGCCTGGTCAAGATTCCAGTCAAGGCAGGGCCTCCAGGAGGTTCCAGTGCTTCTGATCTGGGCCTGATTCTGGCACCCTCTCCCAGTCAGAAGAGTCTGGGGCTAGGAATGCATGTGGACTTGACTGGGTGCAGCACTCACTGCACGGGGCGTGGCGGTAGGGAAGATGAAACATGGGGCTGCGGTCAAAGGGGAGCTTGTCTGCCGAAGTCTCCAGGCTGAGTGTGTGTGTGTGGTGGGGGGGGGGGCGCCAACCCGGGCCTGCACCTGGTCGGCCCAGTAATGCTACTAGGAACTTGGGGAGCACTGCCTCAGCCTGGAGGTGCTCTTGCTATCTCCCAGGGTTGGTAAAGGCCCAGGGTGCTGTGCTGCTCACGTGATCTCTGGAAATTGAGAGCAGGGTGCTTATCCAGCCTCTGGGCACCCTCTGTTGGGTTATGGTGGGGGGTGGGGGGACGGAGCTTCTGGAGGAGGAGGCACCATGGCGGGTCGCTGGATCTGCAGGAGCAAACAGCCTCGCTGCTAGTCCCAGTTTCCCTGCTAGGGCTCATGAGAACGTCAGAGCAGGCCAGGAGCACCCCAAAGCCAGAGGCTGGTGGGAGCAGAACCTGCCTTGTGATGGAGGTAGATTTCCAGGATGAGGGGTGCCTTGGGAGTGAAAGAAATCAACCCAGGGACACCCACATTGCCAGGCCATTTGCCCAAGATTAGTTACCAGTGACAAGCTGCTGAGGGTAGGCCGGCCAAGACCCACTGAAGCATCGAGTCACTCGGTCCTCACAATCACACGGGAAGTAAGAGCAGTTGCCATTCCCATTTTCCATAGAACACTGAGGCCCGTGAGGTAAGAGCTCCCAGGAAGGAAGAAGTGGGCACGGAGAGACCTGCGCCCACAGCCTCTGGCCACGCCAAGGAACATGGGAGACGAGGCCCCCACGAGACTGTTCAACCCGATCCGCCTTTTCTTTCACCACACCCTCACCGGTCCTTGCCTCCCTTGGATGCAGCCTAAAGCCATGGTCCTCTGTACTCATCAGGCAAAACTCGCCCCTGATAATCCGGCTTCCCACTTACTGTGGTCTGCGGCCGCAGGCTGCCTGGGCCTGCTGAGCAATTCACTTGAAATTAATAGCCGGTAAAGCTCAAGTGGGCCTATCACGCAGCAGTGACCCTGCTGCACCCCTGGCCGGCCTCCCCGTCTGCCAGAAGACTCTTCCGAGCCTTCTCTCCTCAAACCCCTGACATCTCTCCCACGCTCACTCCTGCGGGCGGCCTGGCTTCCTGTTCTGCTGAGAAATAGAAGCCCCGCCATGACAGCCCCCCACCCCACATCGGTGCCTCTCCCCAGCACCCTCTCTCCCCTCTGCAGGCTCGTTGGCACACGAGCATGCCACCAGTCCCCTTTCCCCAGCATTAAAAAATAAAGTCCACTGTAGCTTGGCACTCGCACATCTCTGCTCCCCTTTGCCCCCACATGCCTCCAAGGAGTTCTCAGTCAGGCTCGCTGTGTCCAAGTCGCCTTCCCACCCTGGTCTGTTGTGCTCCACGCGCCTCCCCAGAAGCTGCTCTTGAAAGTGCCCGCCGACCTCCTCGTTCTAAACACAACGGCCAGTTCCTTGACTTCCTCTTCCTTGTCCAGGCAGCGGGACTGGAAGAATCCATACTCCCTTCTTGACAGACTTGCGTCAGTGGGCTCCACATCCTGCCGTCCCGCCTCGCCTGCGGCTCGCTCCCGGCCTCACTGCCACTTCCTTCTAGTCTCCTGCCGCTCCTCGCTGCTCCCCAGCTCAGGTTTGTGCTTCCGTCCTCCCGTTCCCCTGACTGACACCCCGAGAGCCATCCTTGATGCCTGTCTTTCTGACGCAGGCCAGTACCAATCTGTCCACAGCCCCTGAAGAGTCTACCCTCGAAACCTGCCCGGGGCCCGCCTGCAACCTGTTCCCACTCACTGCATCACCTGGTGGGAGCCTCCCTGTCTCTCAGGGTCGCTGCCACATCCTGAAGCGGGCCCCATGTCTTCAACCTTCCCTCACAAAGCGGGCGGCATTTGTATGAAAACAGGGATCAGATGACAGTTCCCCTTAACTCACTGCCGTCCACATCTCCACATGTCTCCGGCTGGCTGCTGCGGTCCTTCCAGTGGCCTCCGCCTGACCACTTTTGCCCACCTAGCAGCCCCATCCCCTGTCCCCACACTGGTGAGCCAGGACGCGCCAGGCCTGCCTCGTCTCCAGGGTTCTTGTTTCCAGGTGGGCCTTGGCCACCCACCGAGCACCTCAACATGCGGCTGACATCTTTTTCCTCTGTGGTACCGATCATCACCCAGCACCCTAGATCTTGGACTCCTTTGTGGTTTGTATTTTTCTAATCTTTGGTTTGTTTTGTCGGCTTCAGTAATCCCAGGTTCTAGAACATACCTGGCACACGGAAACACTGAGTGAACGCTTGATGCCTTAGTCAGCTCTGACCAGCCGCTACAGCCAAGGCCCGCAAACTGAGTGGCCTCAACAACAGGAATTCCTGTTAAGAACAGGATGAGAGTGGGGGGTGAGGGGGCACAAGACACTGAGGAAGTGAGTGCTTGAGGAGTCCCAAATCCTGTCCCCCGTCAACCATGGCCGGTCTCCCTGGGGGAGTTGAGGTGGCCTCATAGTGCTTTGGTCCCAAAGAAACCCCATTCTCATCCTCAGTGATGTTGACTTTCCCCGGAGCTCCCCCCTCCCCCGCCCCCAGACCAGGGAGGGCGAGGTCTGTCCTGGGCTCCCCGGGAGGCTCCTGTGGTCACAGAAGAGCTGGCAGGCCAGGTCCTGGCTGGGTGCACCTCTGGGGGCTCGGACCTGACAGCCGGGCCGAGGGGACCTGGCCCGTGGGGGTCTTCCACCTCATTTTCCAGTCAGCAGGGCTGCTTGGTGCTTTTCTGCCAGGAGTGGGGGTGAAGACAGTTCAGGCGACACCACTCAAGTTCATTCTGGCCAAAGCAAATGTGGGGACGGGGGTGTGGGCTGGGGCTGGGGCTGCTCACCTGCTGTGCTGGGCTGGGCTCCACAGGTGCCAAGAACCCAACAGCCCCGGGGTGCCCTGGCCTGGACAGAGGCTTTGGCAGGACCCTGGCCCACGGCCCTGTGCAGCGCCCGCCTTCTCTTAGCGTGGCTCCCTGGACCAGCGTCATCCCTGCCACCCGCCACCGGTCCTGTCACGCTGAGCCTCCAGCAGCCTGGGCCCCAGGTCTCCGCGCCCAGCACACACCACCAGCAGCATCTCGGGCTCTCCCCTGGCAGGTCCAGAAGATTCCTTCCTCTCCTCTTTCTGCGTCGCACAGTTTCCTGAGCCACTTCCTTTCCCTGTCCCTGCAGCTCCGCGAGGGAGGCAGGGTTCTCCCCATTTCCCCCTCTGTGACCAGGGGGAGGCCTGCGCTCCTGGGGCAGGCCTGTGAGGAAGCCAAGGTCGCCTGGGGCCTAGGCGGAACGCGGCCACAGCCCGGCCCTTCTCCCGTGGGCCCAGGCTCGCGGAGCAGCCCTGCAGCCGGCGGGGATGACAGGTGAGCGGGGCAGGGGACAGTTGGGGGGTGGGGCTGCCCCTGGACGCCTGGCGCGCGGGCCTTGGCTTGGGTGCCCGGGCTCAGGGGGCGCCTGGGCTTCCGAGGGCCGGCTCCCCTGGGCACCATGAGGCCCGTGCCAGGCCGAGGGTCCCCCACGCGCCCGGGCCCGCCCCCGCGGCTCGGGTGGGGGCCGGGGCGGCGCCGGCGGAGTGGGGCGCGGGTGCACGGTGCTCAGTGCGCGCCGCCGCCCTCCGGCCCAGCCCGCCAGCCCGCCGGCCCGACCCCGCCGGCCCGACCCCCTCGGCCCTTCGCGTCGCCCCCTCCCCATCTTCCTCCGCCCGGCCCGGTGGCCCGGGGCGCGGGGCGGCGTGGCGATCGCGGCCTGGCGATCGGGGCGCGGCGGTCGTGGCGCGCGAGGGAGGCGCAACGGGCGCGGGGCGCGAGGCCAGACCTGGCGCGCGGGGCGGGGGGCGGGCGGCGGCGGAGCCCCCAGCGGAGCGCAGGGGCAGGGGGGTGCCGAGGTAACGGGGAGGGCCGGGCAGCCGGCTCCGGGGCGGGGGCTCGGGGCGCACCTTGGCGGGGCCGGCGGGCCGCGGGGGGCGGGAGGGCGGCGGGGCGGGGAGGCGGGGGAGGCTGTGGCGGGCCGGGCCGGGGGCTTGGCCGACGGGGAGCAGGTGGGCGGGGACAGGGCCCTGGCGGAGAGGCGCCGCGGAGAGGTGGCGGGCTGCGTGCGTGCGCAAGCAGGGCGGCCGCCTTCTGGGCCCGGAGAACGGTGAGGCCGTGTGGGTGGGCGGCCAGCCCCGAGCGCACGGATGGGTGTCCCGGGCCACGGAGATGGGCGCGGGGCGCCGCGAGGGGAGGCTCTGGAGGCCCGCGGGGCCAAAGCAGTGGGTGTCTCCAGCAGTCCCCGGGGAAGGGGAAGAGTGGCCCGGCCAGAGCTCGGGTTCCTGGGCCGGGCGCCGGAGCGGTGCGACTGGGGGCGAGGACAGGCCTGGCAGAGCTGGCACAAGTGGAAGCGGAGCAGGAGGGCCCCGGGTTCGAGTCTGAGCATCATTGGGGAGTTCAGTGTTACTGGGCGGGTTGGTGGGTGAGAGGTAGGAGTTCGGGGTGAGGGGAAAGGCAAGGGCTAGGGCTCAGAGAGGTGCTTCAGAGGCCATGGCTTGGGCCCCCAGGTGCTCTGGTGGCCTCCGGGCCCTGCGCAAGGGACTTTGAGAGCGCTGCCCCAGAGCGCCGTGGCCTCGGGCGGGGTTAAGGAAGGGCTCTGCGGTGGCCTGTCCCTGCCTTCCTTCCTTTCCAGACCTTCAGGATCCAGCTGTGTTCCTGTGGGGAGCGGGTTAAAAATTCCTCGGGCCTGTAGTCAGCCTTACAGTATCCACCGGGGCCGGAGGGACACACATGTCTGACTGCAGCCGCCTGTCATGGAGCCCTCCCGCCTGCTGCCTCGCTGTCGCCATAGTAACGGCCTATTGATGGTGTATTTATAGGGGAAGAGGCAGGCGCTAAATTTTGGGGAAGGAGGCCTTGTGGCAGCAGTGACAGCAGTGAGGGTTGCTGCGGGATTGTGAATGGAGAGGCCAGGCAGGGTGAGCTGTTCAAGGAACTTCGTGGTTTGCTTGAAGCTTAAACGTGATCTGTTGACTTTCGCAGGTGTCAGGATAGTGCTCGTGGGTGGCGACAATATGTGTGGGTGTGGTGCACTAAGGTCGGGTGCGTTTGGAACAAAAGGGGGCTACCTGGAAGTGCTTATGTGATTTTTCCATGTAGAAATTGTGAAAGCCAACACCGCACTTCTCTTTAAAAAGCCATGAAACATATTTTTTCTCTGATTAGTTCAAACCTGGACATAGAGCTGTGTTTTTCTTCCATCAAAACCCTTGCTGTGAGGCTCCCCTCCCCCATGATGGGCCTCAGAGCTCTATCATGGAAGCAGACTGTTGAGACTCTATTTCCATGCCCCCTCTTGGGAGCATGGAAGGTCCACTTTTCTCACAGGGGAAGGCCCACCTGTTGACACATTCACATGTTGATAGTTTGGAGTGAGACAGTTGTGGGGCTCACGAGAGAAAAGTCCCTTACGCGGTATTTCCATGGCCGATGTTAGAGAAGTCATAGCCCCCCTAGTTTCCAATGTATTTATGATGCACAACTTACCTGCTTGCCAAAAGGCTAAAAGAGCTTATTTTAGATATGCAAGACTCTGAGCACCTGAGTAGAAAAGCATATACCAGGTCACAAGGGGGACGCCCATGCACCTCGCAGCTGGCCTTCCAGGGTGCTTATTCTGCACAGTCAATGTTAACGCTGAGCTTCCTGGCAGCGTAGGGAAAAAAGGTCAAACAGTGGGTGACACTGTTCACATGTCTTACATCCATGGACTCATGAAATCAGAGCTTTACTTGGGGTACAGCACGGTCGAGTGTTGACTCTACATGTGAACCACTTGGCCAGTGCCCCGGAATAAACGTGGGAGTGTGTGTTGGGATTGCTCCTGAGCGGGAGCGGGGCCTTTGGAGAATCGCTCACGTTAGAGGTTGCGGTGGCGTCTGGCTCCCCTCTCAAATATGAGCACTTAAATCAGCGTTTTGGTGCTCCGCCACGGTGGTGTGCTCTTGACGCAGACAGGAAGAAGGGTTGCTCTGGGGGGGGGGGGCAGACACCTCACTACCCTGTCGTGATGAGGAATAATAGGGCAGGTTATCTGGGTGTCGGCCTTGACCTTTAACATGGCTGTTGTCGCCTGCTCAGCTCTGCCTCCTTCTTGCCCACATGTTGCTCATGGGCAAGGGGCCTGCCTAGCATTGCAGGGTCTAGGGCTTGCCTCGTGAGCAAAAAGAGTTCTGGAGCAGGTCCTGTCTCTGCGGCTATTGACTGGTTTGACCTTGCCTCGGTCCTAGTCTCTCCGAGGTATTGTCTAAGAAGGGTGAGGATTCACTGAGGAAAGTGAGGAAGACCAAGGCCTGAAAGAAATTTTCGTTTTTAGAGAAAAAAAATTGTCCCCTTAGTTTCTTACTCACTCAGAGTCTGTTTTTTTGGAGAGGGACAGCTGGAAGGTTGGCTTTGGCCTCTGCTGGGCCTCAGGGCACCTGGAGAAGAGCTGGGTGGGGAGGTGCTACTCTGACCTTTGATGGAGCCCGGGTGGGTGGCGGAAGGTGTCCTATCCCAGGGCCAAGAGGAGACCCCGTAGGGTTTTGGGTGTGACTTCACGTGACTCTGCTTTCCTTCTCCAGGCAAGTGAGACGCAGGATCTGAGGAAGCGTCATGGCAGGTGAGTGTTCTGGCCTGAGCCTCTCGGACTCTTGCCTGGCCACTTTGCATATCTTTCCCAGCTTCCTCTCCTCGGGCGGGGTCTGGACCCCTGTCCCATGGCAGGAGCTCTTGAGCCTATCAGCGGTTCAACTCGCACCCGTGTCTGCAGCTTGGTGGGCCACCGGGAAGAGGTAGGTTTGGCACCTTGGACCTCAGAGGGGGTGCTCGATGTGAGAGCACCATCTCTGGGGTCCTCTCAGGACCTGCAACCACCTCTTCTTTCACCCTCTGGACTCTCGATGTGACTGAGAGGGCCGATGCTCATGCCCCCCCACCCCACCCCTCGAGAGCTCTACACGGGCTCAGGGCCTGCTCGGGTTCCCCCTGATCTACCTCAGTCCGGTTTGTCTCCCCTAGGCGGCTGATGCCAGGCCATCTGATGCCATGGGTGGTGGTTGAGGTGGAGGAACAGCACCCACAGAGTCCCCTGGGGCTGTTGCTACTATCTGAGGATAGGGCTCCACTTTTCTCTTTTGGAGGGGAGGCCAAGGCCCTGGGCTTCATTCATGGATGACAGCAGCACCCAGCATCCCTCACGCCTGCTGTTCCTGTGCAGCTGGCATTTCTCTCTCAGCCAGCTTCAGTATCCCTGCTGGAGCCTGGGGATTCTAGACAGAAACAGCGTGGGGGTATAGAAAGGCATGCTGTACCCTTCTCAGAGCTGGCCTCGTGTGGGTGTCCTGCCTCTCTGTCTTGCTTCCCTCCCTCTTCGTGTCTCTGTGCCCGGAGTGTGTGTGAGTGGGAGAGTGTTGGGGAGAGCAGTGGGCTGTGGCCAGGGTCTGGAGGGGCCCTGCCCCTGGCACTCCTACCCGGGCCTGAGTGCGACTCTCTCCTCAGTGTTTCTGGAGGCCAAGAATGCCCACTCGGTCCTGAAGCGGTTCCCTCGTGCCAATGAGTTCCTGGAGGAGCTGCGCCAGGGCACCATCGAGCGCGAGTGCATGGAGGAAGTGTGCAGCTACGAGGAGGTCAAGGAGGTGTTCGAAGACAAGGAGCAAACGGCACGTGGCGCTGGGTGCTGGGAGCGCAGGCGGCCTTGGGCAAAATGAGGGCGGCCAGTGTCTCAGACACCAGAGCCACGAAGGAGTGTGATCCCTTCCCCCCATCCAGAGTGAGGGCATGGTGCCCTCTCTTGCCTCTCTGTTTGGTCAAAGGGGCTAGTCCCTCGACGGGTGGGCTGGGAAGCAGCGGTGCCCTCCAGACATGGTGCCAGCTGGAGAAAGGCCTGGAGGTGCGCTGGCGCCGAGCCCTGGCACACCGCTAAGTGGCCCTTCACCTTTTGCAGATGGAGTTCTGGAAGGGGTACCCGAATGCGGTCTACTCGGTTCGAGACCCTGCACAGAGCTCAGACGCCATGTATGTGGTGGTGCCCCTTCTGGGCGTGGCCTTGCTGATCGTCATCGCCTTGTTCATCATCTGGAGGTGCCAGCTGCAGAAAGCAACTCGCCATCACCCTTCCTATGCGCAGAACCGGTACCTGGCCAGTCGTACCGGGCACAGCCTACCCCGGGTCATGGTTTACCGGGGTGCGGTGCACAGCCAGGGGGAGTCCTCTGGGCATCGGGAGGCTGGGAGCAATGCGCAGCAGGTGGTGCTGGGGTCCAGTCGGGGGGGCAGAACCACGGTCCGCCTCGAGAGCACCCTGTATCTCCCTGAGCTCGCTCTCTCTAGATTGTCCAGTGCCACCCCGCCCCCGTCCTATGAGGAGGTGACTGCCCCCCAGGAGAGCAGCAGTGAGGAGGCCAGTGTCTCTTACAGCGACCCACCCCCAAAGTATGAGGAGATAGTCGCCGCCAACCTGGACGCAGACAAGTAGCCTCGCGTCCCATTTGGCGTGAAAGCCTCTTTCCAGGGCCTCCCGTTTTCTTTCCAAATTTCCACAGACTGTGCCACCACAAAACAGCCTTAGCCTCCTTGTTGCCAAATACTTTCCCGACTGTGGACTTGTAGGAAGTCAGCGCTCAGAGACAGGTGGAGACTCGTGCGTCAGAGCCCCCAGGGACATGCAGGCCAGAGAGCCCAGCTCTTCCCGAAGCCCCCTGGCGCCGCTGTCCTGTCCTCCTGGGGGGCTGGCTTCTCTTGTGCCAAAGGAACCACCCATTGAGCTCTTGTGGCCAGGATGGCCGTCGCCGGGTCCCGGCACTGCGGCTGCCTGAAGGGCTGCGTGCGTGTGGAAGCCCCGGCTTCTGCGTGGAGAGAAACCCGCCCTTCAGGCCTCTTGTCCACAGCAGCCACGTGCTGCTTGCTTTTGAGGACGGGGCAAGGACTGGACAGAGCAACAAAAAGAATAACCACAAATAAGTCAGTAATGAGTGCAACAAATCAAGACAATAGAATCCAGGCCAACCCTAAGGGCGAGGGATGTCAGCCCCGGGTCTGCGGCACTAGCCTCCACCATCCTCACCCTTCCGACCAGCTTGAAAGAAATGTTTAGGTGAAGGCTGAGGGGAGGGTCTCACAGACAGGCCCGTGACCTCTGCCAGCCTAGATGGTCGCTCGGGTTCTGGTGGGGTGGCCTGTCCCAGGCCTTGGGCTTGCTCTGCCCTGGCCATAGATGCACCCTAACAAGAGCCCCTGGGGAGCCACTGTTGCTGACCCTGCCTGTGGAGCCCCTGGCCTCCTCATAGTTGAGGTACAGATAGCACCAAAGTTTTCTTCTCCTCCTTGGTCCACAGCACAACTGAACCCTTGAACTTGGCCTCCTGGGCCTGTGAACTTTTAGGAGACTTCTCTTGAGTGGGTGTGCTGAGTTGACCTTGACTTCAGATGGCTGATTTCTCCTGAATGATGATGCACACTTGGGGAGAAGATCCTAAAGTGTCCCTATTTAGACTCTGTGGGGAAGAAGGGGGTACCCTTGAGCTGGGCTGCAAGGCCCGTCTGGGATTTGCTTTGTCATTGCCAGGTGCTGGTACCTTCTTAGTCACCGCTTTCTGGGGCCCTGGGGGGCTGTCCACCTCATTTCAGTGGGGCTTCGGGTGGCCTGTGCCCTGCCCTTTAACTGTCCGTGGCCACGTGAAAGATAATGTCGACATCCCCCCATCTCCATCCTCCTGTCCTTGACCCCCCACCTTTTTCCTCTGTGGTGCTTTAAAAAATGTAGCACATTTTTGTGGAGCCCAAAAGAGTGCAGAGCCAGGGTCTATCCGTCACCGCAGGGGCTTCAAACCTCTGAGCAGACACACTTCTTTCTAAGCGGCTCTCCAAGGCGGCCACTGCGCCTCATTCTTTCTCTGCAGCCCTGCCTTGAGGCCACCCCAACTTCCGGACGCCCCTCCAGGCTGGACGTATTTCCAGTAGGAAGCTTGTGTTCTTATCCCAGCGAAGCCGCCAGCATGGACAAGTTGCCCGGTTGCTTCCTTCCCCCCCCTACCTCACGGGCCCCTGAGGCTCCGGAGGCAATGCCTGTGCCATGCTGGAAGCACCAGGGAGCTGGTGCACTCTGCCCTTAGGAAGATTCTTCTGGAAGGGTATAAGGACAGGGAGTCAGTCTTAGCGGAGGAGTCTTCCTGGGACTCTGACGTAGACTCAGCAGGGGAGTCGGTGTCCTGCCCCTCCCCCCACCTCCAGCCCCTACGCCAGAGGCTCCAGCAGGTGAGCAGGTGGCGCTCGCCTTTCCTTCCTTCCTCTTTTCTTCCCTCTGGGCCTCTAGCATGGCACCCTGACCTTCCTCCCTAAGGCCTTTTTGGCTTAGAAGGCCTCTGCTCTTTCCATGGTGGAACCTGCCACCTATCGTCTTTGGCCATGTTGGGGCCCCCCGGGGCCAGTGCCCACTCTCCCAGCGTTCCCCCCAGGAGGTGCCTGCCAGCCACCTGGGAGCCTGGAAGGGTCACTGACCACGTACCTCCACGCCACAGAGCAGAGCCAGAGTGGGTTTGCCCAGACGGCCCCTGCCTCTGGCATCTGATGGGCCCATCCGTGCCATCTGCGCGCTGTTTGCGGCTGGTGGAGGCGGAGAGCCGGGGCTGTGCTGGGCGGAGGGCAGCAGTCCTCGGGGCTGAGCAGGGCCTGCCTGTGGGGAGAGCAGCCGGCTGTGCCCCTGGGCCCGGGCTCCTCCTCAGGTGCTTCGCATGTTCTACAGGGGGTCGCCCACGCAGGAAGGTGCCTGCAGCCCGGGCGTGGAGTGGTGTGTCGGGCGCGGAGGTCCTGGGTCGTCGCGGTGCACAAACCTTTTCACACTGTCTTTGTACGACATTGATTTGATACACTAGCGCTGCGTAGCCTCGTTCTGTCGCTTCTGGACTTGTGTGTGTGTGTGTGTGTGTGTGCACGTTGCCTTTCCTCACACGCTTACCTGGAGCAGTAGCCGCTGGGGTGGCTGTGTTTGTGCTGGGTCTGAAGGGAGGGATGTTGCCTCCCGGGGCCGTGCGGCCTGGCGACGGGACCCTGACTGAGGAGAGCTGACATGAGCGGTTGGAACCCCCAAAGGCACCACCTTTGTTGCCCCACGAGAGACTTTGGAAGATGAAGCAGCTGCGTCCCGTGGGCCTCTGCCCGGGGACAGCTGCGGCCCTCGGCCCGCGGGTGGTGCCCCCGGCCCCTGTGCCACGGGCGTCGGAAGCTGAAGGAATCTGAGCCCTCCCGGGCCCTTTTATTCTTTTAATATTTTTTTCCATGGAGAGATGTGTGATTTTCGACTTTGGGGATGACGGGGCTAGTCAGTAGATCGTTTTCATTTTTAAAAAAGGCTTTACTGATTACTTAAGATATGGCTGCCCCGTGTTTTCAACCAAAAACTTAAAGATGAGAATCACAGTCTTGTCCCTGCCCCGCTGCTCCCCATCGCCTAGGGGGTTCCAGATGGAAGCGCCAGGACTTGTGCCCCAGCTGGGCTCCCTGAACTGCAGCCCTGAGCAGTCTGGCCAGGAGCGCCCCTTCTGCTTGCGAACCCCACAGCCGCGGACTTGAGCGCCTTAGAGCGCCTCAGAGAGCGCCGGGAAGGGCAGTGTCTTGGTTAAGCAGCGGACCGGTGGTTCCTCTCTGGCTTCCCTTGAGAAGAAAACAACACTGCCTCTAGATCCTTCTTTTGCCCAAGGTGTGGGGGGAGTGGAGAGTGAGAGCGCGCGGGGGTGGGCAGAGAGCGCGCATGGATCAGGAATGACCGTCTGCTCGCCCAGGCTGTCCGCGGGCCGGGCCCGGCGCCCTCCCTTCCAGGCTGAGCTCAGGAGCCGGACCTGCTGGTTTCAGCCTGCGCTGCCCCTGCTCATCAGTGTCACTAGCTGAAGGGACTGCTGCTGGGGGAAGACAGAAAACAAAGCGCCTTGATTTGAAGCCCCTAACTCATCACTTAGAGAAAGGCACTTCAGGCGCGCACGGTGCCTGTGACTCTTGCCCCAGACACGCCGGAAGTCTCTTCCCTTTTGTCAGTGTTCAGTGTCGCGCGTGAGGGGACTGCGGTTTAAAGTGAGTGTCTTTTTCTAGTAAAAGGCTCAAGAGTTAGGGATTCCTTCACTTGTGCCTTCAGCTTTGGGGTTCAGCGCTTCTGTTACAGCAAGGTCCCCGTCCAAGGCGAAATCTGTCAGCTTTCCACTGTGGGGGTGCTGGGGCTGCAGCTTCGCAGTCAAGTCTTGATGCGCCCCGTGAATGCTGGACCGGTGAGCCAGGCTGGATGTGCAGTCACATGACGGTGTCTTTCTAGATACTCGGACGCAGACGCTGTGCGGCCGTGCTGGCCGCTCCCGCGTGCCTCCTCGGATCCTCAAACATAGGGAGCTTCCCCCTCACAGGCGGTGGCAGCGAGTCTCTACACGGGGCTCTTCGGCAAAGGTCGGCGAGGGGCGCATGGCCGCCGCAGGCGCTGCAGGCGCCGCCGGGCGAGCCCCACCATCTCCCACCCCCGCCCAGCGTCCACACTCCACACCGATACCCGCTGTGGGGCCGCCCCCGCAGCTGCTGGCCTCCGGGCCTGACCTGTCTCCCCCGTGGAAGCCGCTTTCCCAGCCTGGACACACCCGCTGTGTCACTCCGTGACTGCGACCTCGCGACAGCGGCCACCGTGATGCGCCCGCGCGCTCAGGGCCGCGGTGACTGTGGAATGGATCCGCCCCGGGGCCGCTTCCAACTGGCTCACGTCCGCTTGACCGCGCCGGCTGGGAGCGTGTCCGTTCAGCAATGTCAGGGTTCACTGCGGCCTGGGGCGACACACTTGCTTCAGATTCTCTCGCTCTCTCTTTTCATAACTGTTGCGTGTTGCTGCTCGATTCTGTCTCCTTCTGTACAAGATGACGCGCTGTAATAAAGAGCACATGGCATCTGCTTGCGCCCGGCTCCTGTCTCGTGTCTCGGTGGAGCTTGCTGACACCCCACCTTCCCTGGGCCTGGATGGGGCAGCCCAACTTGTTTTTCCAAAAGTCAGATGTAGATAAGGAAACAGCCCAAACCAGTTTAGAAGCAGGAAGCAGCGAAGATGTAAGATGTCCCAGGTCCTCAGCTTGTCCCCTCGCCTGTAAGATGATCTGTCTCCCCCCACCCCGACGCCGCCCTTGGAGTCGTCAGGTCTGTCCTGTCACAAGTCACCTTAGCAACTTCCCTGTCACCTGATCCCTGGTTACTGACAGAAGTGTCCCTTGCTGGAAGGGTGTCCCTTGCTAGAAGGGTGCCCTACTTCATTTCAGACCGGGGGGAGAGGTGAGGGCAGAGCTGTCTTCCTGAGTTCTGGGGCTGGCAAGCAGCGGGCCCCACTCAGAGGGAGGAGGCCCTACCCCCACACCCCAGCTGTCCATGTGGAGCGACCTGTGGCCATGGGAAGGCGCTGGAGCAAGTCGTGCCGATCCGTCATGGCAGTAAAATCTGGGGCCTCCTCAGAGGAGTGAATCTGGAGGCCAAATGCCGGGAATGCCAGCCAGCAGCCTTGGCTTCCATTCTCATCCCAGGCTGGCTTGTTGAGTGATGTCAGCCTCCTGGGGGTGCTGGCCAGTGCAGTGAAGTCCCTTCCAGCAGACCCCAGCTGGCAGAGTCTCAGCATGGGCTTTCAGTTTTTAGGTGCTTTTGCAGGAAAGAAGCGTAAGAGGTAACGACTTAGTCCCGGGCTACCGCACACGAAGAAGCTAAGGAGCAAAAGGCCCCAGGCTGCCAACATCTCCTTGGGCTGCCATTTGGGGGGGCAGGACCTCCCTTTCTTAGTCATCCACTGTGCCAGAGGACCCCAGGTTCCAAGCAGACCTTGGGATTGCTTGTGGAGAACGAGGGCAAGTCAGGGGCAGGGACTCAGGACTGATGGTGGGGGTGGAGACTGCCAAAGGTGCCCACAGGGCAGTGGGGTTGGGCAAGCAGAAGCAGGCCTCAGGATGGCTTTCTCAGGGTCCTTCTGTGGAGAGTGATGTGAGAACCCAACATCTGAAGAACAGGCAGAGCGTTCATGCCCCCTCAGGTTTTTTCTAGACAAACGTGTTGCTGTCAGGAATCAGCAGCTCCAAGCCCAGCGACTCTGAGCAATTTCTCTGAAGGTTCAAACTGTGTGGTGGATTCATTCACCAGGCTTTCCGTGCTGTAAGAACAGCGTCTGTGTAGCATTTGAGATACAACTGCTTCTGCTGAGTCACGGGCACAGTGGGCGGCTCGGGGCCACTGGCACCCGTGAGTCCTATGGCTGGCGGGTGGGTGCTGGGTGTTCCCACCCGGAGCTCTGGACATAGCGTGATGAGGGAGGCATGATGCGAGTCAGAGCAACAGAGCACGTTGGCCTTCATGCTGCCAAGGTGGGGAGGCGGGGCTGCCGGGACAGCTGCCTCAAGAAGTCAGGGCACCCTAAAGTTTGAAGGCTGAGTAGCACGCAGTCAGGCGAAGAACTTGCCAGATAATTTAGTCACTTCTGTCAAACACTGAATTATATGCTTAGGAGTCTGCACGCCTTGGAGAGAGACCCAGAAGAAATCCGCCTGCCCTCGCCTTGGGAAGAGGCCTGGTGCCCACAGAGCCCACTGTAAGAGGGCAGCGGAAACCAGGGTGGCAGAAGGGGAAGACGCCCGCGAGGTGAGGCGGGCAGGCAGAGTGAAGCAGCCACACTTGGCTGTCATACTTAGTGTCAAGGGGGTGCCACCCAGGGACACTGCGGAGGAACAAGAGGGCACGGCGAGGTCTGTTATGTTGAAAACAATCTTCTGCCCGAGATGGCCTGAAAGGATCTGGCGAAGATCAGCATTAAGAGGAAGCTACTGCTGTCGTTCAGGCAAGAGGTGGTGATGGGATTCTGGTTTGGTGACACAGGAGACTGAGGCAAGTAGACGACTGAGAAAATTCTTACTCAAACACTGAATAGATTAAGGAGTTTGTATTCCGTTCTCTAGAGACACACACACGTGTCCTAGTGCTAGACATGTGTGATATGCACCCATGTATCTTATGCTGCTGAATCTGTTCTAGCCTGCCTGCCTGCCTGCCTGCCTGCCTGCCTGCCTTCCATGTATGCACCCATTTTTTTTTTAAGATTTATTTATTTATACAAGCACTAGGTACAGTCAGAAGCGCGGGAGGGTGAGAGGATTCACCAGAGCCAGAGCGGGGAGCAGAGCAGGCAGAAGGACCGAAGTACACTGCTGAGGGGAGCAGCGGGCGGCAGGAGAGGTCTGCGCGCCATGCGGGACCCTCGCCAGGCAGCTGGGGATCGAACCGGCGCTGCAGAGGCTGCGGGCAGCTTCGCAGTCCAGTGCTCAAGTGCTGCGCCACCGGGGAGGCCCGCATGCACCCATCTTTTTATCTAAGTTTGGGCTTGTGCAATCACACTTATGAAGTTGGCCCTCCATCCACCATCTGTAGGCTGGAGACCCAGGAAAGCCGCAGTTTCACTGTGAGCCTGAATCTAAGAACCAGAGAGCAAATAGTGTAAGTTCCAGTGTGGGGGCAGGAGACCACGGCCCCAGCTCGGCAGTCGTGCAGAGAGAGCAAACCTCCCCTTCTCTTTTGTTGTCCATTTAGGGGCCTCTGCAGATCGGCTGCTGCCCCCCAACGCTGGGGAGGGCTTGGGCAGTGGGACCAGTCACTGGGAAGGGTCAGGTGGGGGGAAACAAGGGGAAGGAAAGTGTTAAGGAGGGGGTGTGAAGTGTGTCTGGTGGGGAGCAGAGGCGGGACAGCAGAGTTGTCACAAAGATGAAAAATGAAGTCTCGGGTGTAGCCCAGGAGAGTCAGGCCAGCCGGGGGGCCTTGGGAGTGTGGGTCTTGCTCCTGGAAGGAAGAGAGGACGATGAACTGGAGAACTTCCAAAGTTGCCGAGTGCGGTCAGCTGAGCGCGGTGAGGAAGCCAGACTTGGATCCGGAGAGCGGTGCCCAACGGGAGGTGAAGGGCGGGGCAGCGCTTTCGCTTTCAACGGGCTCAGAGAGGACCTTAGCCTGAGTCAGACAAGACGCCTTTTTAAAATAGTCAGCTCATTTTAATCCAACAATAATTGAAAGAGTTCCTAGTAGGCCTCCGGCAGGGGTGTGGGCTAAGTGTAGCGAGAGGGAGGTGAGTGAAGCGGGTAAGATCTCTGCCCTCCTGGAACAGAGATGCTGGTGCTGGCAAGATGTGCCTTCATGTCTATGCTGAGGAGAATCACCCGGCTGGGGAGGGCTGGAGGCTGGAGAGGGCGGAGACAGGTCGCGCAGAGAGCTGGGGCCCGGGCCTGAGCGCGGGGCAGCCTTGCTGGCCGCGCGGACAGCTCAGGTCCGGCCCCTCGTGGAAGGCAGGCCTCGAGGGCTCTGTGAGAACCCCAGCAGCTAGCGGCCTTCAAGCACTGACTGCTGGGAACCCAGCACCCCCACCCCGCCCCGCCCTGGACCTCTCCCGGGCAGGGCCACCGTGCCTAGGGTCGCACAACCAGTAATTGGGGAGCTGGGCTTCGACTCCACGGTGCGGGCCACCCCGATGTCCGCGGCACTCACTGTTCGTGACTGGACCTGGCCGCTGGCTCTGTCTTCCCAGAACGAAGGCAGGCAGGCATGGGAGAGAGGCTGAAGCTCTTGGCTTCCTCCGGTTCTAGAAGGAACTGCTTCGCCAGGCCGCAGGCTTGAGCTTGTGGCGCAGCCCCGCGGCTGACTGACGAGCGCCCCGAGCCACGTCCCAGCCCTCGGCTCGCCCAGCAGCAGAACGGGAGGTTGCGGACGAGCCCCTGCGCGCAGGCGGGACGCTCTGTCCCTCGCAGCTGTCTGCTCCTCTCCTTGGGCCGTGCTCGCTCGTGTCTTTCTTCACAGGGTCACTGCGGCCTGGGCTTCGCAGGCTTCGCCCCCCTTTTCCAGCTCTTGGTTATTGTTGGCCATTTCCCTTTGGCCTCTGTCTCCACTGAATTTTACAAACACATCACGTGTCCGGCACAAGCCGTGGAAACAATGGAAAGCAGATGCATTTCCTTCGGCGCGATGAGAACACCTTGCCCAGCCCCTCCCGGGGGTGGGGAACGGTCCCCCAGGGTCTGTCCAGGCCCAAGGGGACAGACTGACAGCTGGCTAAGCCCTGCCGGATTTCCGAATCCGCTGCCAGCGTTTCGGGGAGGGGCCCAGGGCAGCAGGGAGGCAGCCAAAGAGGAAGGGGCCACCGGGCAGCAGCTTCCTCTCCTCCGGCCCAAGGGTGCACGTGCAGAGCGGTCCTGAGGTGCCCCTCGGGCAGTCGGCCTGCGACAATGACCCGGGTCCGGCTTGGAGCTGCTCGCCGGCCTGCAGGGCCCGGCGCTGCTGAGCGTCTCCGCCCGGGGGGCGTCCGTGCCGGGCTGTGGCTCACGTCGCTCCTTTTCCTTTCGTATTACTCGCCGGTCGTTTGCGTGTCTCCACAGCTCCGGGGTTACCTTTCCACGCCTCTCTCTGTGCACATGCTTCACCCACCGTCCGCTGGGCTCCCGTGGCCCCGCCATGTCCCCTTACTCGCCCCCCCCCGCCCGACTTGGCCAGCCTCTGCTGGAGCTCCCCGCGTTCCCAGCGCGCACGTGGGCCCCGAGGTGTGCAGGCCGCAGGGCTGGGGCGAGCACCGGCCCCTCCCCGTGGGGAGCGCCCGTCCCACTCGTGGGGAGGCAGGCGGAGGGGGAGCACTGCTGCCAGGCAGCCACCTGCCGTCGCCCCCCAGACCACGGACTCCCCTCTGGGCTGCGTCTCTCTACCTGTCCCTGGTGAGGGCCTCGTCCCTGCCCCCAGCGCCCGGGACCAGCCAGGCTCCGTGCCCAGCAGCTCACTGAGCTGCATTTGGAAAGTGAGATGGTCCCCGAGACCGCCTCCTGGTCCCCAGGTTCGTCCCAGGCCCCCGGTGATCCTGCAGCTTTTTATTTCCTTCCCTCTGCCCACGGGGCGGCCCTCCTGCCCCGGCAGTCCCCGTAGGTCCTTCCTGTCCCCTCACGGGATGGAGGCCTGGCCGCCCGGCTCCGTGACCCCCTCCGCGTCCCCTCTGGCTGGGCGGGTGGGGGCCCTGGGGCTCCGGGGATGATCTCACCCAGCTGCTTCCAGCAGGAAGGAGAATTGTTTGTTTCATGGGTTTTGTTAGCAGATGGGAAGGAAACGCCAGGACGCCTGGCAGATGTGGCTCTGCAGCCAAATCAGACTCCCTTTCGGGCTGCCCCGGCAGCCCGGGCTGCGCTCAGCGCTGGGAGCCGTGCGCCCTTGGCTCAGCACTGTCCCGCGGGCCGCTGTTGGAGGGGTCTTCGCCAGAGCAGCCGGAGGGGAGAGCGGGGCCGGAGTCGAGCCGCTCTGTGAAAGGGCGAACCCCCGCTCCCGGCGGCCACGCGGGCGGGCAGGACGCGCGGGCCTCGGGGAGCAAGCCAGGAGGAGAGAGGCCCCCACGGGACCACGCCACTCCCGCGTGGGGGAGAAAGAACCGAAACAAATGAACAAACAAGACGAAACGAAACAAAGGCAAACTCTTAGACAAAAACGTGGGACCCCCTCCCAAAAGGCGGGCAGTGAGTTAGGGGGCGGTTGTGTCGAATTTTGATGCCGTACGTGGGAAACTTACATGAGGCGATAAACCAATGTTCCCCCGATATAAGAGTGCAGCAAACAAGCAAAAACAAATCCAATCCCACCCTCCCAAAAGCCCAAACAGTACCCCTCTGGGTGAAGAGAGGCTGGGGTGCAGCTGGGGACCAGGCGGTCCCAGGCTGCCTCCCTGGGCAGTTTGCAATTGGGGTTTTGTCCAACTTTCCATGTGCAGATGGGAAACTGAGGCACAGAGCAGGGGAGGCGGCAGGGTCTGGGCTGGGGGCCACCCTGGTGCCCTGCGCCTGCCTGGCTTCCTGCCACCTTCTCTGCTGTGGGCGGGGAGTCAGGAGCAGGCAGCAGGCAGGGCTGGCAGACCCCCAGCCTGGCTGCCGGGCGCTGAGCAAAGTGCGTGGCTGCGGAACAGGTGGCAGAGGCCTGTGGACGTACCCGGGGAGGCAGGTGGTCAGATGGGGGGGGGCGGGGGCAGGCAGACAGACAGATGCAAGACAAGGGCAGACAGGCAGATGCGGCCCAAGCGAGCTGCTGCTCTGGGGGGCTGGATGCCTTGTAGATTTTATCGAAACTTGGATGCAATTTGCTGGATTTGTTTGGTCCCTGGCGGCGGTTGTGCGCTCACGATCACCTTTAGGGAAGAAGATGATCTGTTTTCTTTGGAGACGCGTAGTTGGGAGGGAGAGCTTCGCCCCCACCCCTTGCTGTTAATAAAACAGCTTATTTTAATCAAGATCCAAGCCCCGAAGCAGGGAGTTCACGGGAAAGAAATGCAGAAGATCAATAAACATCTGAAAAGTTGCTCAGGTTTATTCATAATTAAAGCAATATAAATTAAATCAACGACGAGCTGGATATCGCTTTTCACCCATCACCGTGCCTTGCAGCGCGTCTCGTTACCTCCTCGGCGGAAGCCAGCGCCCGGCGGGGCGCCCTGGTGGGGCACGGGGCTTGCGGTCCGCAGCAGGTGAGGTCATCGCACACCCCCGCTCAGCACCCCGCCGCCCCACTTGCAGGCACCTGCTCTTCAAAGCGGCACGTGCCTCGCACTGCGCCTCGCACACCCTAAAAGCAGCGCGGCGGCGCATCCGAATCCTGGGCTGCCTTTGAGGGAAATGAGGGAGCCTTGCCTGACACAGGAGCGCCCCGAGGCACCCTGTTCATTGCAAACAGTAAGTTGCAGCTTGTCCCTGAAACGTGCGCTCTCACTTAGCCAGAGTCTCTGGCTAAGAGACTTCCCTGGCCCACAGGCGCCCCCCTCACCTGGGCTGGGTGCAGCTCTGCGCTCCCGGCTGCTTCTCTGGGACCCTTCCACTGGGGTCTACGTCTCTGCAGCCCCCGTGCCTGCTTGGCCATGGGCCGTCCTCCCATAGGTTTGGCAGAACTTTGTGCACAAGGCGTCTAGCCCTCCCGCCCCAGAGGCTGGCACGCGGCTCGGGGGCGGCTCCAGGGCGTGCTTTCGGTGAGAAGGAAATGATGTTAGAGGGAAAAGGTAACACGCTAGACATGCGGGGGACCAAGTTCAACGTCACGTGGAAAATTCTGTCTCCCACCTCTCAGCCATCCTGGGTGTCTAGTCCAGGAGAGGTAGGCGGGCAAGGGGGTGAAATGCCAGTCTAGGGTGCTGGGTGGCATTAGGGGCTATCGGGGATCGGGCCCCTTTGCCACCAGGGGGCAGTGCTTCTTCATGCACTTGGGCCCAGGGCCGCTGTGCCCAGGAAGCCCCAATGGTCAAGGCCAGTTGGCAGCCAGAGGGGAATCCGATCTGATCTGAGGTGAACGGTGCCAGGTCCTGCCAGTGCCCATGCCGCCTGCTCTGCTGGCTTGCACGCCCACACAGTCCAGCTACCCCAAAGGACGAGGATCCTTGGCTCCATCTGAGTGGGGACACTGAGCCCCCCAAGCAGGAAACACTTGCTCAAGGCTACATCTTGACTTCATGGCCAGGATGGGCAGGGCCTACAGCTGCTGGATAAAACACAGGATGCCCGCTTCAAGGGCAACGTCACACAAACCGCGACTAGCTTTTCAGCGCAAGAAACGTCCCAAGGAGCACACTCTGGAAACATCATTTGTGGTTTATTTGAAATTCAAGTGCCGTCGGCGTCCTGGATTCGTGCTTGCTCGGCCTGGCAGCCCTGGCAGAAACCCCCGCTCCTGCTTCCCCGAGCCCCACGGAGCTCACCTTCCTGCCCCTGAGGCCCCGGAGCTCCGGTTTCAGGGCAGCTGCTGGGAAGGGCTTCTGGGGCCTCACGAGCGTAGCCGGCCTGTGTCAGCTCTACTCGGGGAAGCGCTGCGGCCCGGGTGGGGTCAGGCTGGGGTGGGAGTCAAGCAGCCCAGGCCGGGCCGCCCCCTTCCTTTCCTCCCCTCGCCCCTTCCTTCCTCCCTTCCTTCCCCGGCCTCCTCCTTCCTCCCACCAGGCCGCAGCTGTCTTTGGCTCCTTTTCCAAACAGCCTCCTCTTCCCCCAGGGGCTCTGGGGCTGGGCCCTGGAGCTGGGGTTCATCTTCGGAATCAGGGGTCTCCAGAGAAGTGGCACCCATAGTCCGTATGTCCACATGTGTTGTACATGCATGTGCATTGTGCACACGCACAGTTTTCTTTCAGGGAATTGGCTCCTCGACTGTGAGGCTGGTGAGGCCCAGCTCTGAGGCAAGCTGACAGGCCAGGGTCTTCCATGCTGCCGTCATGAGCAGAAACCCTTCTTTTCTGGGAAACCTCAGTCTGGCTCTTAAGGCCTTGGCACACGCTGGATGAGGCCCACCACAGTGTCGCAGAGGAGTCAGGACTCACTCCACCGCCCACAGAATGCCTTCAAACAGCTCCTCAACCGCTGTTCAGCGGGTGACTGGAAACCATGGGGTCTCTGGCCAGGCTCACACAAAAGCCTGACCCCCGTGGTGGTCTGATGGGTTCGAAAGCGTCGGGGGGATTTGGCAGAGGCCGGGGGGTACAGGTCCTGAGGAGGTGGGGGGGCTCCAGTGGCTCCGGGCCCTTCTCCTCCTGCCCATCCCCCTTTTGGTTTTCATGGCTCCCGGCCAGCTGAGCCGGGTCGTCCACAGGCGGTGCGACCTGGCCGGAACCGGCCCCGCAGAAGCCACGAGGGCCTGGAATCTAACTCTGTTTTGGCCACCGACTTCCTCTGGGGTCCTGTTCCAGTCCGGGCCTCTCCTTAGCGATGATGCTGGGCAGACCCCATCAGCCGCCAATGAGAGCACATCAAGGGCTCTGAGAACCAGGCAGTTCCCACGGGCAGAGCTTCGGGGCCTTATCTGTTCTCCTAAGTTGCTTACAGAGTAGCAGGGAGAAGCTACTGGCCCAGCGCACGAGATAAAATGGGAACACGGGGTGCTGAGGCCAAGGCTGAGCTGAGAGAGGGCGTCCGGCCCCGCCCCCGGCCTCAGGTATATCTGGGCCAGCTTCCACCCCAGACTGCTGTCTTGCGTCCCTCCGTGTCCTGCCCGCAGCTCTCTGAGGCCGCGGCTGACGAGCAACCACTGGCAGTGATGGCGGGAGGCCCCCCGATCATCAAGGAGGAGATGGACACTGCCGTGGACGAAGAGCTGGGTCCTGGGAGCCATCGGCAGAGCCAGGAGCACCTGGTGATTGCAGGTGAGACTCCTGAAGTGGCCCTTCCCTGGGGCGTCTGCCCCTGTGCCCGTGCATTGCAGATGGTGTGTGTGTGGCGGGGCGCACGTCTACACAAGTGTGGGCACGCGTGCTGCCTGTGCCTTGGGGTGCATGCACCTGCACTTGTGGCCCTAGTGGCGGGGGCTGGGGGGAGGGTAGATGATGTGAGCATTTGGCAGCCCATAAGGGAGCAGGATGCGCCCCGATGTGTGTTCCGTGCGTCACCCCCTCACCCAAGCAGCACGGTGTCCATTGGAAAACATACAGGGGGTTCAATTTAAAAGCTCCCTCAGATCGGTTCTCTCTCCTAACCCCCCAATGCCTTCTCCTGTCTTTTCCAGTCAAATCTGAACGCCTTACCGCGGCCTCTAAGATCCAGCCATGGTCACCTCACCTGCACACGCCACACTGGCCTGTCACCCGCTCCCACTGCATTTCCCAGGCCCGGCTTTCTCATGGCCTTGGCGCTTGCTGTCCCCTCTGCCCAGAACTTTCTTTCCATGGCTGGGCTCCTTTTCTCTTCCAGGTCTCTGTTTCGTGTTGTTTCTGACTTTTCTGGAAGTAGCGCATTGCTTCCTACTTTTGTTATTTTGGGGGCTGGCCAGGGCCTGGATACCCTGATCTTGTCTCTTGGTCTTTTCTGTCTTTCCAGTAAATACCGGCTGAACTTGTGAACAGATGAACAAACTGGCCTGGGATGGGCCATTTGCCAGTAATGAGTAGGAACTGGGTGACTCCTGAGCAGTGTGGGGACCCTGGCCTTTCTCTGGTGTGTTCTGTGCCCAGGAAACCCTGGTGGTGCCTCTGGGTATTCCTGGGCCTCTGCTTTTCTCCGTAGAAATGATAGAGCACGGGTCCCGTGCCCTGGGCGTCTCTCAGCGGCGACAGAAGTTGGAGGCAAAGGTTCCTGGCTCCACAGCAGCCCCGTTGCTTTGGAATTTGACTTCTGCCGGGCCCAAGAAAATGGTACTGTGGGGCCTGGGGCTGCAGTGACTGGGGTTGGGAGTTCTGGCTACAGGGCCCTCGCTGATCATGGCAGGTGGAATGGGGCCAGATGTTGACTTGGGGGGAGGGAGGAGGAGGTATAACTCAGGCGCAACTTGTGGGGTTCTGGGCTCTCCTGGTGCTCCAAAGCGGCCAGCCTGCCCTTCCAGAGGCTCGGGCCTGACGCCTGGTGGGGTGTAACCATCAGTCCCAGGCAAAGTGTGGGCCAGGCCACTGTTCCTGTTCCATAGGGGCCCCAGCTGCCGATGCCCAGAATGCCAAGAGAAGCGGGCCATGGCGACGGCCCTGTCCAGGAGTCTCCTAGCGTCTTCCAAGGTGTGAGGTGCCATTACGAACGGTAAGAGGAGCCCAGGGACCCTGCAGGGGGGACATTGGATGGCCGAGAGGCTGGCAGCTAGTGAGCAGCTGGCTCGCTCGGAATGTCAGGGCTTTGTCACGCCATGCCACAGCCTGGGACTGGCCCTTGGCCCGACGGTGGGGCGGAGGGTGCTGAGCGCTCTGCGGCCGGGCAGGGCTGGGTTGGCCCCAGGATGGCCTTGCCAGGGAGGGAAAGGACTGGTCTCTGGCAGTCACTGTCTAGAGAAGCCCTGACCTTGCCTGCTTGACCCTGTGGCCTTCCTGTGCTGAGGGCCAGGCCTGACTGGGCACCGCCAGCACCTTTCACCCTCTGTCTTTTCTGATTTTCCAGCAACGCAGAGGCGGATCTGATCGCAGAGATCGGCCTGGAAGAGCTGAATGGGCTGGAGATGGAAGTCATGCGCAGGCAGGTGGGTGCCCGCCGGCCCCAGCGGGACAGTCGTCTTCCCTCCAGCGGCAGAGGCCAGGGCAGCTCTCCCTTCCTCCTGGTCGCAGCTCAGGCTGCCTCCCACAGCCACTTGCCCTGAGAGGAGGGGCGGGGGCTGCGGACGGGGTGCTCGGAGAGTCAGCCTGTGCCTGCCGAGAGGCGCTGAGAGTGCTGCTGCCTTCCTCCGGGCACAGGCTTTCTTAGACACAGATGGCAGCAGGCCTGGGGGGGCACGGAGGGGCATTTGTCCCTTAGGCCCTGTCTGGACCCCAGCGGCTACCCATCCTGGGGCGCTCACTCTGGCTCTGCTGCCCCCGCTAGCCAGCCCACCCCAGGATGGAGAAGCCCTTGCTGGCTCCCCACACAGCGGGGACGGGCTGGCTTCTTCCAGGCGACCGGGGCATGGAGGGGCAGCAGGGGAGCTGGGCCCGTGAGCGCCCTCAGCTGTGCAGTCTGCTCTTGGCCCAGAGGCATTTGCCACCCTGCCCCCAAGGGGCAGCAAAGCTGTTTCCTGTCTCAGCTGCCCTTGTCCCTTTGGTCTCTGCAGCTGCGTGTGATCACCGGGCGCCTGCGTGCCCTGGAGGACCAGGGAGCGGGCCTGCGCCACAGGGACGCGCTCTTCTTCACCGTGCTGGCGTCAGCCTGCCTGGCCAACCTGTGGCTGTGGATGCGCCAGTGAGGCTGCCGGCAGCCACCGAGCCCTCTCCTGCTCTCTTCCCTGCTTTCTCGGGCCGCCCTTGCCCGTCTTCCTTCCGCCTCCCAGCTGCCCCCAGGGACCCCAGCAGCTGAATATCTGGGTGCTAGGCCTGGCCCTCGCCCCTCGCTGCCCCTTCTGTCCCACCCTCCTTGGCAGGGGCGCGGCTCTGTCTGCGCTGTCTTCTTCCCCTCGCGCGCAGGGCTCTGCACATGCACTATGCTCAATAAAAGTTAAGTGACAGCAGCAAACCCCAAGTCTGACTTCGGGCATTCATGATTCGTGGGGAGCAGCCCCTCTGGACAAGGCCCCTACTTGGGGTTAGGCTGAAGCCCCACCCTGGGGCCCAGCCCCCCTGCCACTGTCCCTGCTGGGCAGAGAGGCCCTAGGAGGTGGGGCTTGCCGAGCTCCCGGGGAAGCAGCTTGGCACTTGTGTTCGGGCCAGGCCTCACGGGGAGTCAGCCAGAGGAAATCTGGAAGGGACCAGAACCTTTCCATTTGCCCAGGAGGAAATTGGGCCCCAGACCGGGGGACGTGTCCTGGGGTCATCCAGAAGTGCGGCATGGGCCACGTCTCACCCGGGTCTCCCGAGCTCTGCCTCCTGTAGACTGGCACTAGAGACGAACGGGAGGCCACACACGACTGCTTTTACCACCCCCCCCATAGACTGCCAACATCCACGGCCCCCCAATATACAGTGCCTGGAAGGTCATCTCAGGTGCGGGACAGGGCAGAGGGATTGAGTGGCATTGCTTGAGGTCAGATCCCAGAGCAGGCGCGTCTGTGTGTCTGTCTGTGTGTGAGTGAGCGAGCGCGAGCGAGAGAACATTCGCAGAGAGAGACAGGGAAGAGAGGGGAGCTGGCCAGCCCCATACCCACTCTGGTCCCTAGTGGGGTCCCCAGCCCCCTGTATGAGGGGGCTACGTTCCTGGCTCCCTGGGGCCTGCAACACTTGTGACAGCAGAAGGGCCTCCTGTCAGCCCTGTGGGACTCCGCGCTGGAGCCCGGGCCCTGCTGAGGGCAGAGACAGGGACACTAGCTGAGGAAGCAGGTGGGAGGTTCCCTCTCTGACCCAGGGCAAAACCCCTGCGGAACCGGGAGCCCCGGGGCCCAGACACAAGTGCATCTAGCCAGGAGAGGGGCGACCTGGAGCCTCCCTGCACCTCCAAGGGCCTTGGAGCCCGGGAATCCCTTGCACACTCAGAGGACGGCTGGGCCCTCCCTGCAGACCCGCCCCCATCTGCAGCCTCAGGACAGCTGGGGCCCCAGGTGCAGGCGCTTGTCTCGGGCCGCGGGCCGGGGAGGTGCAGCGGCCCACCCTGGAGAGGCGCCGGCGCGGTTTCTTAACCGCCTGCTTCTTCACGCTGGCACCCCAGCACACCCCAGCGCGCCCCAGTGCCCCCCACTGCCTTTAAATTGCACGGGAGGGTGAAAGCAGACACAGGCTGCCCAGAGGCCTGCCCGCCCGTCCTGAAGCGTCCCACCCCACACCGTCGCTCCCCGCCCCTCCCGGCGCTGCGCCCGGCCGCTCAGCTCAGAGGAAGAGAGGCGGCCGGGGCGGGGCGAGGCCTGCCCTTTGGGATGGGCTGTGCGTGTGCGTGAGCAGACACGGACATGTTTGCAGAAACGGTCTGCTTGAAAATATGTTGTGAAACAAAGGTTCCCCGGTGGGAGCAATTTAGCTGAGATGCAAACAAACAGCGAGGTGGTCCCTGGAGAAACACCTCTCGGGCTAGGTGAGCTGGGTGGAGCCTGCGCCTGCCCCCCACCCCAGGTGTGACTGCTGGGCCCCTCCATAGGGTTCTGTGGGGGCACGGGTCTATGGTGGGGGCCAGCACCTCCCAGCTGGTCTCCTGGAGCATTCGCGCCCCGAGGCCATTTCCCTGCCCAGCTGCCCCCCACTGCTGTCCTCAGCAGCCTCGAACTTCCCCGGGCACGGCGGGGGCGGGGAGGGACTCATTCACACTTGGGGTGGGCGAGGGGCTCCTCGAAGCATCTTATGCGCCCCCTGGTGAAGCCTGCTGCCCAGGCTTGGGATCAGGGGCTGCCCAGTCCTTCCCTCCGCACTGGAGCAGCGGGGTGGGGGGGGTGCAGGGTAGACAGGGCTGGCGGGGGCTGGCGGGGGGGCCTCTGGACCGGGTCCCCAGAGCGCTGCTGTGGCCGGATGGTCTCGGTCCGCGGCAGGGCGTCCGGGCGCCCTCCACAGAAAAGCCTTCCCCGTAAAGGCAGGCAGCACCCCGCGCTCCCGCTGCGCTCCTACTACGTGCCTGCTCTCCGTGCTCCCAGCAGGGAGGAGCTGTGCAGCCCCCGTCCCCAGTCCCCACCGGCTCCTCCCGGGGGGCATGCTTGCCTCCCTCCCCTCCCCCGCCGGTGTGTGGCCCATGCACGCCCTGGCCTCCCTGCAGTTGCCCCACGCAGTGCCCTGAGGGGGCTGCTAGTCCCCCAAGCTGTCAGCCTTTGCCCACCGCCGCGGAAGGGAAAAGCTACATTCCCCTTCTGCTGGCGTGGGGGCAGAGGAGGGTGGGCAGGCGGGGCATGTGGGGGCGGCTGGCATCCTGGCCCCTCTTGGAGGCCCAGTCCAGGGAGCCCCGGGGGGACGGAATGGGCCCTCTGCTCTCGGCTTCTCCCGCGCTTGCCCCTGCCCAGCTAGGCCGGCGGGACTGTGACCAAGGCCAGGAGGCAGGTGCAGGGGTGGTGCGCTGGCAGCCTCGAGTCCCCTGACACCAGCCCTGAGCGACGTGCGTGCCAGGAAGGGCGGGCTCCCCGGGGCGCGGGAGGGGCCGCCAGCTCCTGGGTGCGGGCGGACGAGCAGCTCTCACAGCGGGCAGCCCGTCACCCGGCCTGCACCTGCCGACAGCCTGGGCGTGCGAGCCTCGGGTGTCCAGCCGGCGGGCGGGCCAGCTTCTCCCGCGGGGGGTGCCACCCGGGCCCGTGTCTCCCGCTCGCCTCCGCCGTGGCCATGAGCTCCTCCGGGTCATCGGCAGCCTCCCCGGCCGGCGTCGGGCAGGGCGCAGCTCTCTGACTGGGAGGCGGCCAGCTGTGTGGGGTGCCGGGACCCCGCCGGTCTGGGCACGGGCGCACCCGGAGGTGTCTACTGGCTTCAGGTGCTGATGAGCCCCCTGGACTGGTCCCTGACTGGAGGCGGCGCGGACGATCAGCGGATGCTGACTGTGCACGGGGCCGGCCCGAAGCCGTCTGACTGGTGAGGAAAGGGGCCGCCCTGGTGGAGGCCGATGCTGTTGGGGGGCCACCGTGGCGGCTGCGGGGGCGGGACCGCGGGGCCGTGGAGCTGGGCTGCATGTGGGCCCTCGGAGGGTGAGCGGGGACCTTGGCTGCTTGTCAAAGCCACAGATGAAACCTGGGGGCTCAGGAGGGAGGAGGCAGCGGCCGCCCCCATGCTGGCTTGAGGCAGCGGAGGCCAGCTTCTCCCTAGGGGGCTGGCAGGAGGGTGGCTGGAGAAGGCCTGGAGGGAGGAGCTGAGGGGCTGGGGGTTGCCCTGCCAGGCAGGGGGGGATGGGAGAGGGGGTGGAGCCCGTGGAACTTGCCACCTGCTGTGTCTCTACGACCCGCCAGGCGCGGGCATTGCTGGGCATCCCCACTCAGCACACTCAGCACGGGGTGGGTGGGGGCGCGGAGGTGACATGGAGCTCCAGGGCTCCCTGCAGGTGAGGAGTATCCAGTAGGGTCGGGGGTTCTGTAGTGCGGCCCTCACAGCCCCTGCTGGGATTGAGGCCTTACTTTCCGGCAGCCACACCTTGGTCCCTCAGGAACGTCTTGATGGGGGGCGCCTCCGCGGGTCTGGGCCTCTGGGAGCCTGCTCGTCTGCCGTTCTGGCCAGTGCATCTGCAGGGAAGCTCTCGGGGGTTCTGGCGGGGGAAGGAGTCCGGGCCGGGTGGCCGTCCCGGGCAGGGACAGGCCCGTTGGGGCCCTCCAGCTCAGCTTGAGTCCAGAGCCGGAAGTGTCGCCTCCACCCGCATCGGACTGAGGCCACCGGGCGGCTGGCACGGGCAGTGTCTGGGCCCCTCTGTGGGCAGAACGCGGGTGGGCGTCTTCACAGCCTCTGTCCAGGGGTCACCTTCCCGGGAGCAGGCACTAGGTGTTGGGACTGGGCACATCTGGCTGGCAGGGTGTGTGCTTGGCGGGTCAGGGGCCGTGGTGGCCTCCTGGGAACCGAGACTGCAAAGGTGGCCTAGTGAGACCCGATGCAAGGAAAGCGAGCAAAAGTGCGCGCGAGGCAAGGCGGGGCCGGGCGAGCGTGGGGTGGAGGTGTCCTCCTTCCTTCCTGCCCTCCCTTCCTGGACATGGTTCCGGCCCTGTCACGTGCTCATCTCGGGGACTCGTGACTCAGCAAAGCCGACGTGTCTCTGACCCGACAACGTTGATTTCTGGGTGAGGGCATCTGTCCAAGGCTCTGCGAAGCAGGCATGGCACAGGCTTGGGTGGGTTGCTGACGTCAGCCTGGCAGAGACCAGGACGAGATCTGAGGATGGAGAAGCGATGAGTCACAAGAAGCGAAGGAGGAAGGTGCTGGAGAGACTTCGGCAGCACCCTCGGGTTTGGGGACGGGGCCTCCAGGGTACCTCCGAGGTGTCCGGGCCACGCGCGTGCAGGGACAGATGGGCCCAGGTCATGTCAGTTGGGGACACCCTGAGTGCAGGGCCCAGTGACTGTCCCAGGAGGGAGATGGGCACCTGGGGATGTGCAGCGTGCGAGGGGTTTCTTAGTGACGACAGCAGGGGCAGGGTGAGCTACTATCTCTGGTCTCCCTGCCCACGGAGGAGCCTCCCTTGGGTACCAACTGAATGTGGCTGATGCCACGTGCTCCGCCTGGGCTCCGTCTTTGTCCGTAAAGAGACGACACCTTTCTTGACCAACAAGTGCTGAGATAATGGCGTCCTCGAGGGCTCCCACCCCTTCAAAGTAGGACCAACACCCCTGGCCTGCCTGGCATCTTGGACGAAGCCCTGCCTCCCGTGTGCCCACTGCCAGCTCCATTCATCCCACAGTCCTTCCAGGCCATGTGTGCGACGCAGATGCCAGGCTGGGGTCTGACCTCAGGGCACTGATGAGAGAGACCACGGTGGCTTGTCGTGCAGGGCCCACTCTGCCTATGAGCGCTGGGTACCCAGCTCCAGGCTGCCCAACCTTGGTATGTGCAACTCCCCTTTGCCACAGTTGGCACCCCTCCCACTGCCCCCCAGGCCCGGGGCCCAGGGGTCACAGCAGCTGGGCTCCATACTCCATGCCACCCGCCAGGGCCGGCTGTGCTTGCACCCACACCCAAGGCTGCGGCCGCCTTCGCCTTCCAGGCTGCCCCGTGGCCAAGCTGCTTTTTAGCCACATCACTTAGGCGTGAACCTGTTGGAGATGACAACAGACAGCCTCGTGGCAGGGTGAGTGCGTCAGCTGAGGGCCGTGCTCAGCACGGTAGCTGCTCAGCGGATGAGAACCTGCCCCAGCCCACCCCTCTCCAGCTTCCTCTCGGGGCCCTGCCTGGTGCCGTCTGCCCCCCGGCCGTGACCCGTGACCTGCGACCTGCCCCCGGCACCGCGCATCCCCCGCACAGTGGCCAGAAGGGAAAGCTGGGGCGCTGGTTTCTGGTGGGCCGCGGGACACTGCCCTTCCCAGTCGTGGTGGGAAAGCTTTGACCTGACCTGGTAGTAACTTGCATCTGAGGCCAGGACGGTCTGGGTGACAAGCCCCCCGGCCCCTGAACTCTGTCTTCTGAGGTCCCCCCAGACCCGAGCAAGGTTTAGCCCTGGCATCTTCTTCCTGCCCTCTCGCCCTCCCTGCGGCCTCCCTGCCTTCCTGCCTTCCCCCACCGCCTGTCGGGAGCGCCTTCCGGGCGGCAGCCTGCAAGGGGGTGGGGGGGCCGCGGCGCCCAGCGATGCAGACACAGGCGCCTGCCCTCAGCCGGGCACACTCGAGTGCGGAGCTCTGGCAGGGAGGGGCAGCCTCTGGGCTCAGGCTTCAGCCCAGGATGGCGGGAATGTGGCGGGAAGCTCTGAACTGGGAGGATGAGCCTGGACACGCTCTTCAGGGGGCGCCGAGCTGCCCTTCAGTGGCAGCTTGAAGGCTCAGTGGGTTGCGCGTGTCTGTTTCTAGGTCTTGGGGTGACTCTGCATGATTTGGGGGGAGGCCAGCCGCAGCTGCCTGAGGCACCCAAGGGTGACGTCCTGGCGCAAGGTGGAAGGAGAGCCCGGAGCCCGGCAGAGAGGTCTGGTGCCGCCCCCTCAGTGGACCCGGGTGCCATCTGACGGCGGGACCGCGCACCGCGTGTCTTTCTCTGGCTGCTCTCAAGACCGCCCTGTCCCGCGAGCCCGGGGCCTGAGCGCGCGCGTCTTGCTGTTACCGTCTTCACGCGCCTTGTCCTTGGGCCTCTGAGCTGCTTCTCTCTGTCGCCTTATTGTTTTCATCCATTTGGGGGAGGCCGTGACTTCTTCAAATGCAGTTGCTCTGCGCCCCCCACTTCGCGAAGTTCAAGCACGTGTCGGTGGCGTGTCCTGAAGCGCCCCCGCTGCTGGCGCTCGGCTCGCCTGACTCTCTCGGTCTCTGGGCCTCACTCGGGCAGTTTTGCTGTGTTGTCCTCGAGCTCGCTGCTCTCTTCTGCGGTCTCCGAGGCGTTTCAGTGTCATCTCGTGCAGTTTCCTCTCGCGGTTGGTAGTTTTCATCCTTAGGAGGGTCATCTGTGTCTTTGCAGATGCGTTTTTAAAGGACGGAGCGCGGTACCTGATTGGCTTCTGCCGTCCCGGCTGCCGGCTTCCCACCGGGGCCAGGCCCGGGTTGCTTTTGAGCGAGGACTTGTTTCCTTGCTGCGAGGGAGAAGTCGTGTGGGTGCCTGCTCATGGCGCGCGCCCCACGTGGCCGTCGGCCTTGTGGCGGTGGGTCCGCCTGCAGTTCTGAAGCATTCTTGAGCCTTATTCTGGGATGAAGCTTGCGTAGCTGGCAAGGGGGGCCTTCTGAGTCTCGCTTTTAAGATGGCTTTCGGTGGGACCAGAGCCGCGTTCAGTCTGTGAACTAATTACCCCCCGCCGCACAGCCGACGCCCTTCCGGCTCCTCTGCCGTCGGTGTGGCCAAGGGTGGCAGCAGGCGCTATGGCAGGCCCTGTGTGACGGCTGCGGACTGTGGCCTCTCACTTTACGGACGGTTCTCTCCCGAGCCTCGGAGATCTCTGTCGTGGGTGTGCGGTGGTGAGCGCTCGGCTGGCTCGCTCAGGAGCCTCTTCAGACGCCAGCACGCTCCCTGCAGCTCTCCCTCCAGCACCTGCTCTGCTCACTACCTGCTGCTTCTTACTTGAGAGCCTCGTTTCTTTCTTCTCAACTCAACTCACCCATCGGTTCCACCCGGGTCCCACCTCTCTGTGCCACAGCCCAGAAACTCTCACAAGGGAGTGTGGGGGGCAATGGTTGGGGTCACATCATTTGTTCCCCATCTCTTAGGGATCACTGGCCATCCTTGCCTAATGTTCAATGTCTCGAAAATTGTTCTTTTGGTTCTGGCTGTTTCCTCCTGATGGGTATATCTGCGTCTTCTCTAGAAGTGCAAGTGTCACACATCCTTGAAACCAGCCAACTGATAGATCAGACACATGAGCTCAAAGTTGGAAGCAACGGATGGGAAACGCGTGTCATTCATTGACTGCTCTTTCCACGCTCCCCGGGAAGCATCTGCCACAGGCTAGGCATGGAGACGAGATGGCAGCTGGGATCGAGGTGGAGCTAGTGTGAAGGGGTGGACACAATGTGTGCACGGGGACACAGTGCCTGTGACCTTCATGTGTGGCATGTGCAGCTTTAGACTTGAAAACTGGGAGAAGGACATTGTCCGTAGAGATGCAGATGAATCTTGGAGGAGGCGGTGTCGGGGGAAGACCAAGAGCTCGATTTGGGCCACATTGAGCCGAGATGCCTCCTCAAAGTGCAACTGATGTGTCAGGGAACCCAGCTGAAGTCGTTCAGACTGCGCTCAGGACACTGCCCCCTGTAGGGGTAGGGCACAGCAGGAGGCTTCTCGAAGGACACTCACAAGTGTTGCTGAGGCAGGAGGAGAGCTAGCAGAGCGGAATCCATTGTTTTGAGAGTGAAGGAGAGAGAAACCGTGTCAAAGGGCACAGGGAGACAGAATGGATGTGTGCAGAGAAGTGACCCCAAGAGTGGAAGGGGTTCCTGGTCGTCTCTTTGATTCTGGGAGCAAGGCTGAGG